AGGATTTCTGCTGCTGTTCCTAATTTTGAGATATGGATTGCGTGCACGGCCGGAAAATAATTACACGGACAACTGTCCAGTACAACCACTTTCACATCATCTCATCTCTGTTTATTGCAGGGCGGTGCTTAACCTTTTATACATAGAGAACAATAGAGTATACGTCACTATTAACGTATATACAGTCACATTCTAAAAGGCACATCTTGCTTGGTTGAAATATAGGAGAAATGTAGAAACTTGATGCTTGCTTCTCATCCCGTTATCTTTTCACTCCCCTTCACATTCCCAAAGTCTAAATGAAGTCCTCTGCGAAGGGAGGGGTTGAGAGCATCGCTCTGAGCAAAACAAGTTAAGGAGGACTACAAAGCCCAGCAGACAATATAATATATATATATATATATATATATATATATATATATATATATATATACATATACACATATATTTAGAAATATAAAAAAAGTATAAAAGTAAATATGTATAAAAATGTATATTTTAAACAGAAAACAGAATAGGCATTTTACCAATCCATCACAGTCCCCCTTAAAATGACTATTTTACTCTGTCCCTATAAAGCCTAGCTCATCTGTCCTTATGTACCTTGGAACTCTTTTATGCTGTACGTTAGACGGTGTGATGACTATTTCATCACCCCCCTTGCCACAGACTTTGTGTTTTTCATAAGGAAGTCAGATGCTATCCTACAAAATTGTGAGATTGCTGTTGGTGGGGAGGGACTGTAGAGGAGTGAAAGGTTTATCCTTCTTCCATCACTTCAAAAGGGTCCTCCTCTTCTTGATGGAGAAAATATAGGTGTGCTGTTGCCTACAACCTTACTATATTAAAACTTCTTTACAAATGGTAGAATACAAAAAATAAACATACAATCAGAGCTAAAAAGAACTAGAATTATTAATACCGTTACCCCTATTTGGGCGAGCACTTTTTGCCACCCACTCATCCCAGCTAAAATATATTGGTCCCCACGGGTCTGTGATACCTGAGTTCTTTTTCAGCTATCCACTAACAGACCTTTCTTCTAATTTCTTTATAGCCAATGTAACCTTACCATTCGGCCAGTATTGTCAGGAATATATGTACAACATGTTCCGGTTCCTTCTATCATTTTACAGACACCTCCTTTTTCCGCCTTAAAATCATGTCCAGAAGCCATCCTATTCTGGAATGTCATGTAGGATGTAGGGGCTAGCTGGTCAACGATTCCTTGAAGGGCATCCCTGGTGTAATTCACAAACCTCTGTTGGTTGTAGTAATATGTAATTTATCCAATCTACATTTTTGGGTCAAAGGTAACATTATTATGGGGATCAGAAATTCGAGCCTGCTTTACTTGGTCTCTGGCTTTGACAATTTATTAGGCACCCCCCCAGCCTTGGGACTCCAAATAGCATCTTTATACACTTGTGGGTCAAAACTACCAGAAGGAGCTTTTCGCTTCCTCCCTACGGCCAGGCGTTGGGTCAGGGATATTTTCTGGTAGGATGTGGGAGAGGCTATAATGGCCTTTGCAAGGGCACACTCACCAGTCCAAAATCCCCTTCCAATCAGGTTTAATCCTTTTGGTTCCCAGTAATCATCCATGTGTATGACACATATGATATATTTACTCACTACTCGGAACATGCTCATTATGTCAAGATCATATAGATTACGGTTAGAGATTGAGCGAATCGAACTTGGCGAAGTGGAATTCGTTTCGAATATTAGGAAAAATTCGATTCTGCGAGCCCGAATCCGAAAATTAGCAAACACTTCGGATGCGTCAATCGAATTTCCCCAATCGGCCGCAACCCCATTTTAATCCCTTCTACAGCCGGCAAAAAGTGTCCCCAGAGAGCTCCGGCTATTTCTGACAGTTCTCTGACAGTTCCTTCACCATTTAAGCGGTGGAAAATTGTAACTATTTGTTTCCATTTAAGATACAGATGTTTTTATTCGGAAACAAATAGATACAATGTTTCAACCGCTGCCCTCATTCTCCTTTCCTTCTTTTCATCCTTCTTCCCCCTCTTCCTTCCCTCGTCCTTCTTCTTCTTTCATCTCCTCATCCCCCTTCTTCCCCCCAATCCCTCCCCCCCAAACCATTCCCCCCCCTCATCCTTTTCTTCTTCATCATACCCATCCACCCTCCCCCCCTCCCCCTCCCCTCCCTCCACCCCCACCCCCCCCACCTCTCAACACCCTCCCCTCCCCTCCCCCCCCCCCCCCCCCCCCACCTCCTCGCCCCAAGCCTCTACCCCCCCCGCCTTCCCCTTTTCCCCTCATCCCCCCCCACCTCACCCCCCCCCCCCCCCCCCCCCCACTCCCCCCCACCCCTCACCCCACTCTCCCCCCTTCCCCATCCCTCATCCTCCCTCTTCTTTCCCCCACCACCCTTCCCCCTTCTTTCCCATCCACCTTCCCATTCCTCTTTCTCTTCCCCTTCTTCTCCTTTCCCCTCAACCCTCCCCCTCCTCACCCCCCTCCACATCTTCACTTACTTCCCCCCCTCCCCCTCCACCCCTCCCCTTCTTCCCCCCCACTCCCCCACCCCCCTCTCTCTTCCACCTAACCCCTCCTCCCCCCCCCCTCCCATCCCCTTCTTCTTCAATCCCCACATCCCCCACCCACCCCTCTTCTTCTTCCACATCCCCTTCCCCCTTCACTCTCACCCTTCCCCCCACCTCCCCTTACATTCCCACCCACCCTCCTCCCCCCCACCTTCTACCCCCCCCCCCCCACCCCTTCTCCCCCCCCCCCCCTCCCTACCCACCCCACCCCCCCCCCACTTCCCACCCCCACCACATCCCACCCCCTCCCCTCTTTCCTTCTTCATCCTCATTCCTCCTTCTCTTCTCTTCTTCATCTTTTTCCCACTCCCCCTCACCCCCCTTTTTTCATCTCCTCATTCCTTCTTCTTCCCAATCTTCTCATTTCTCTCATCCTCCCCCTTCCCCTCACTCCCCCGCACCTCCCCCTTCTCCCTTCCTCCCTCTTCATCCCCCCCCATCCCCCCTCCACCCCCACCCCCCCCCCCCCCCCAACCCCCCCCCTTCCCATCCTCATCCCCCCCTTCCCCCCCATCCTCCCCTCATCCTCTTCTTTATCTCTTCTTCTTCTTCTCCTCTTCCATCCTTCATCTTCTTTTCTCCTCTTCTTCCCCTTCATCCCTCATTCTCCCCCCCCCTTCTTCTTCTTTTCCTCTCTTCCCTTCTCTTCATCACCCCCTTCTTTTCTTTTCTTCTTCCCTCATCCTCTTCTTCTTCTTCTTCATCTTCCTTCTTCACCATCATCCTTTCTTCTTCATCCTCTTTTCCTCTTCTTCTTCCCCTTCCTTCTTCTTCCTTCTTCATCCTCATCCTCCTTCTTCCCTCTTTTCTTCCCTCATCCTCTCATTCTTAGCTTCCTCCTCCCCTTCCCCTCTTCTTCTTCATCCTTTCATCCCTCTATCTTCTTCTTCTTCATCCCCTTCATCCTTTCTTCATTCATTATCATCCTTACTTCTTCATCCTTCCTCCTCTCCTCTTTCTTCTTCTTATCCATCCCCTCTTCTTCTTTCCTTCATCCTCATCCCTCCCCCCTTTCTTCTTCATCCTCATCCTCTCTTCCTCTTCTTCCCTCTTCTTCTTCCATTCTTCTTCTTCCCCCCCCTTCATCCTCATCCCCCCTCTCTTCTTCTTCTTCTTCCTTCCCTCCCATTCCTCTTCTTCTTCTCATCATCCTCATCCTCTTCTTCTTCCATCCTCCTCTTTCCATTCTTCTTCTCTTCTCCTCCTCTTCTCACATCCTTTCTTCATCCTTTACTTCATTCCTCTCCTCTTCTTCTTCCTTCTTCATCCTCTCCTCTTCTTCTTCTCTTCTTCTCCTCTCCTCCTTCACTTCTTCTTCTTCATTCCTCATCCTCTTCTTCTTCTCCCATCCTCATCCTCTTCTTTTCATCTCCCATCCTCTCCCTTCTTCTCTTCTTCCTCATCCTCTTCCTCCTTCTTCTTCATTCCTCATCCTCTTTCTTCCTCTTCTCTCTCCTCTCCTCTTCTTCCTCCTCTTCCTTCTTCTTCATCCTCATCTCTCTTCTTCTTCATTCCCTCCCTTTCTTCTTCCCCATCCATTTCCTCATCCTCTTCTTCTTCTTCATCATCCCATCATCCTCATCCTCCTCTTCTTCTTCTTCTTCATCCTCATCCTCTTCATCCTCATCATCTTCTTTCTTCTTCATCCTCATCCCTCTTCTTCTTCATCCTCATCCTCTTCTTCTTCATCCTCATCCCCTCCTCTCTCTTCTTCTTCTTCATCCTCATCCTCTTCTTCTTCATCCTCTTCTTCTTCTTCTTCTCTACTTCTTCCTCTTCCTCATCTCCCTCTTCTTTTTTCATCCTCTTCTCTTCTCATCCTCTTCTTCATCCTCTTCCTCTCTTCTTCTTTTTCTTCTTTTTTTCGAGAATCGTTACTCAGGGGGACACAGAATTGTTACTCAGGGACACAGAATCGTCGTCATCAGGGACACAGAATCGTTACTTAGGGCCACTTCTATCAAAGAATCGAAAATCCCCACATACACCCTTTTTTTTTTTTCTTGGCTGTCGTGCACAGTTGGTGCTGCAGTTTGCCGATTCCTGCAAAAATAAACTGACTTTCTGCTTCACAACCACTTCTTCACTTTCAAAGAGTTAAATCCATTTACACGCTGTCGGCTGGCGGTAATATTTTTTGGGTGATTAGTGCATTCCAGTGACACAAACATACAGTTTCCAGCCAACCCTCAAGCTGCAATTGACCGATTGTGTACAATAAACTGACTTTCTTCCTCTTCACAACCTTCTTCCTCTGGCCTTCAATTTCCGCCACATTCTGCTTCCGCTCCTCACTTCTTCCATTGGACTCTTGATAGTCGTCTCCCCACGCTGCTGCTCTTCCCTAACCTAGGCCTGTGTATGCCCTTCAATTGAAAGCTGCTCTGCTCCGCCACTTTGCCCCCCACTTCTTGATAGTCGTCTCCCCACACTGCTGCTGGGGGGACTTTTTAACATAGGCCTCTGTATGGCCTTCAATTTAAGCTGCTTACGCTTCGCCACTCTGCCATGGGCCCTGTACCCATCCTCATGCTGCTGCCAGGTCCTCAGAGTTCCCTCAACATCCTCTTCCATGGGTCCCTGTACGGCCTCCCATTGCTGCTGTCTCCATCGCCACACTCTGCCATGTGCCACTTGGCATAGGGTGCTGGCATTCTATCTTACGGGCCTCCCATAGCTGCTCCAGGCCCCTAATCTGCCATAGGCCCCTATATACCGCCTCCTCATTGTCTGCTGCAAGTCCAGAGTCTGTCATGGGTCCCTGTACGGCCTCCCATTGCTGCTGTCTCCATCGCCACAACTCTGCCATGTGCACACTTTCAGGTCTCCTCACACTGCTGGTGTGTTGAATTTTTTGACATAGGGTATGCTGGCAGATTACGGGCCTCCCATAGCTGCTGCCAGGCCCTCTAATCTGCCATAGGGCCCCTATTACCGCCTCCTCATGCTGCTGCCAAGTCCAGAGTCTGTCATGGGTCCCTGTACGGCCTCCCATTGCTGCTGTCTCCATCGCCACACTCTGCCATGTGCCACTTTCAGGTCTCCTCACAACGGCACACACTGCTGGTGTGTTCAATTTTTTGACATAGGGTGCTGGCAGATTACGGGCCTCCCATAGCTGCTGCCAGGCCCCTAATCTGCCATCTGCCCCTATATACCGCCTCCTCATGCTGCTGCCCCCCAGAGTCTGTCATGGGGACCCTGTACGGCTTCCCATTGCTGCTGTCTCCATCGCCACACTCTGCCATGTGCCACTTTCAGGTCCTCCTCACTGCTGGTGTGTTGACTGCTGCTAGGGTGCTGGCAGATTACGGGCCTCCTATAGCTGCTGCCAGGCCCCTAATCTGCCATGGGCCCCTATATACCGCCTCCTCATGCTGCTGCCAAGTCCAGAGTCTGTCATGGGTCCCTGTACGGCCTCCCATTGCTGCTGTCTCCATCGCCACACTCTGCCATGTGCCACTTTCAGGTCTCCTCACACTGCTGGTGGGTTCCATTTTGTCATAGGGTGCTGTATGGCCTCCCATTGCTGCTGCCTCCACCGCCACTCCACACTGTGGCTCCACACTCTGGTTTTGGCCCCGTGACTGCCCAAATGAGTGAAGTGTGCGGTGATTCTAAGATCGACGGCACTCATCTGCATGTCATACTGACTGACAGTATTATTTCTCTTCCCCAGCAGACTCCAAGGGCATTTCAATTAAAGGTACAGTGTTCTGCACTAATATAAAGGCTCTCTGAAGCCTAGAAACACACCCTTTTTATAAGTTAAATTCGCAGCGAATATATTCGACTCGAATCGAATTTATTCTGCGAATTCGCCGAATCAGCCGAATCGAATTTTTGAATACTTCGCTCATCTATACTGACCACCATCCGATTACGATGACTTTACAATTCCCAGATGCCCCTCCTACATCCAAAACATGGAGATTAGATTCCTTTCTCCTAACTGACTCATCCATTATCACTCAAATACGCAAATCTCTAACTAATTACTTTAAAGAAAACTCTTCCCTAGAAACAACCTCCCTCACTCAGTGGGAAGCACACAAATGTGTGATTCGTGGACTCATGCTTTCCATATCTGCCTCTCAGAAACGTATGGCTCAAGCGTCTTTTACATCCATACTTCATAAAGTTCGTACACTGGAATGTGCGCATAAGCGCTCCAAAGCTGTCGACTCAGCAGACAAACTTAACCAAGCCCATAAACAACTCCGAGACATAATGGAAAAAAAAAAACAAAGCGGAACTACATTTTAACGCAAAAACTTTTTACGAACATGGAAATAAGTGCCGCAAGTTTTTAGCATGGGCCTTGCAATCTAAAAAAGCGTTGCGTACCATTGCGCAACTTCACTCAAGGTCACTCTCTTAACACCTCTTCGGATATCGCAGCTGAATTCGAAAAATGTTATACCTCTCTGTATAACCTACCCTTGCCGCCCAAACCGTCAGGGGATGATAGAACACGTAAGATCATTATCCAATCTTTTCTCGCTCAATTCCTCCCTAAACCTACATCCCAGTCACAAGCAAAAGAGTTAGATGTTGTATTGACGCTGGAAGAATTGCAACAGACCATTGCACAATTAAACCTGGCAAAAGTCTGGGACCTGACGGACTTACTACCGCATACTACAAATCATTTATTGACGTCCTAGCACACCCATTCCTAAAAGCTTTCAACTTACTAGACACTCCAGGACAACCCATGCGCTTTCTCTCTGAAGCCCATATCACACTAATCCCTAAAGAAAATAAAGACCAGACATTAGCAGCAAATTATCGCCCAATATCCCTACTGAATGTTGATCTAAAGATCTTCGCCAAGATATTGGCCAATTGCTTACTGAATATCATAGATCATATTATCGCAACTGACCAGGTGGGGTTTGTCCCCGGTAGAGAGGCTAGAGATAACACGATCAGGGTGATCAACATACACCATTGGTTAACTCAGAAGAAACAACCCGGTTTCTTCCTTTCTTCCTTTCTTTAGACACTGAAAAGACCTTTGATAGATTGGCATGGGAATAAATGGAAGTAGTTCTGATTGGCCTTGGGCTACCTTCCCGTCTCCTGAACTTTATCATGTCGCTATACATGGCGCCGACTGCGAAAGTGAAAGTGGCTTTCTCTCAGGAGCTTTTTCCATAAGTAATGGGACCAGACAGGGCTGCCCATTATCCCCCCTCCTATTCATTCTTACATTGGAACCACTCTTGAATTGCATTAAACGAAATTATAATATTAAAGGGATTTCTATAAATGACAAAACACACAAAATAGCAGCCTTTGCGGATGACATCCTACTCTTCTTGACACATCCCCACATTACACTATCTAACTTACTACAAGATTTCAAGATGTTTCAGTATCTGGACAATTTTAAAATAAACTTCAATAAATCCCAAACATTTAATGTTTCCCTATCCCAGGATACAATAAGGCAAGCGAAATCTAACTTCCCCTTCATGTGGCAATCAGAAGCCATCACTTATTTAGGAATCCAATTGCCTACCCATCTAGCAGATCTTTACGCCAAAAATTTTCTACCCATTCTGCTTAACATTACAAAAGATCTGCAAACATGAGATAAGCCATTTTTCTCTTGGTTTGGCAGAGCAGCTATCATAAAGATGAATGTACTCCCAAGACTTTTATATCTCTTACAAACCATTCCAATCTTCAAGTCCTACAAAACATTATGTACCTTGTTTCTATGGAGTAATAACTGCCCCAGAATTAGTTTCGACCAACTAACCATGCCCAAAACATGTGGAGGTATAGGGCTACCTGACCTAGCCCGCTATTATAAAGCTTGTCAAATGGCAAGAATAGTGGATTGGTCCACGAACCATGCTCGCAAAGCCTGGGTGGCATTGGAAGCTGCTTTTTCGGAGACCCCACTCGCCTCCTCCCCTTGGCTGCTAACCCCGCACATTCCATCTGAACTCAAGGAACACCTGCTTTCATAGGCCCTACCTTGTCCTGTTACCATCAGATCAGCAAGCATACAGCGTTCTCATCCACCCCTGGCTCACTCACTCCTGTCAGAATGAACCCAGACTTCCCCCCTGGTATGTCGCTTTTCTTGTGGGATCTGGACTCACAGATGGCATGAGTCTGCACCACCTCTTCAAAGACGGATTGCTCTTATCCAGAGACCTTCTTATGGATAAATGTCCTACCCTAACCTTAACACCGTGGATGTATAGACAACTCCACCACTTTATCCACAGCTCACCCCTTCTAAAAGAATATACTAGACATCTTACCCCCTTTGAGAAACTTTGCTCATGGGGCTCTCCCCAGAGACATATTATATCCCTGCTTTATACATGGTCTCGAACACATCAGTAACCTCTCAGCTAGGAAAGCTTGTAAGGCCTGGAGCACTGACCTACAAATCCAACTTTCACCTGAAGATTGGAACCACATATATGAACACATACATAAAGGGTCTATATGTGTATCCACACAAGAAAATAACTTTAAAATATACTCCAGCTGGTATAGGGTTCCATCCCTGCTTCAACGCTTTGACTCCAACATCTCTGATCTGTGTTGGAGATGCCATCATGCTGCAGGGTACACTCCTACACATTTGGTGGGATTGCCCTTTTCTACAACCCTTCTGGGGGAAAGTTCATCCACAATCACACAAGTTACTACGTATGCCCTAGACCTTTCCCCCGCACAATTTTTGCTTCACCATACCGCACTTCCATTTTGGACTTACCGCAAGTCTCTTGCCATGCACATGGTAAATGCTGCAAAGCAATGTATCCCAGTACATTGGCGCTCAACACATGTTCCCACTGTGCAAGAATGGTTTGCTAGGATCAACAAAACTGAGGAAATGGAGGAACTGATTTCTATAGCTAAAGAACATCCTGAGAGATTTAGGAAAACATGGGCATGCTGGAATCATTTTAAATCCACTTCTACCTATCACCTAATAGTTAATAATCAATCTATATCCCCGGATTGAATTTACTAGTACAATGCTGTAGTGGGGAATACCCGGGTCGCTGGAGACTTTTGTATCACACATCAGGTTGGGATGTAGTGCTGTATCATGACATGCCCTACGGGGTTTCTGACTTCTGACCCTTGTGTTACCCCATGGTTGGTTCATGCACGTAACATACTTTAAGCCTTATTAGTACCTTTCTGCCTAAGAGAATACTTAGGGATGGGATCCATTTTAACCTTTTTTGCTTATATACACTACTGTCACGCAACCCCTTACCCCCTGCCTCCCTCATTCCCCCCCCCCTCCCCCCACTTTTTTTTTTCTCCTTTCTCCCCCCACCATCTCTTCCTACCTTTCTTTTTCTTACTGTTCTTTGATTCCGACCTCTCTTTTTTCACATCTGTCATTTTTTCTTCAACAACTAAATAGAGCACTCACCTTCACACAGATATGACTAATTTCAACTATATCATACATTCAAGCTATAACTACGTACACCATGAACTTCACAACATCCAGTGCCTTTCATATTTTAAGCTTCAGATTGCCTCAGCAATACAAATTGTGGATTTTCAAGATGTGATAACATACTAATACATTGATGTATCCTCTTTTTTCTGTGTACCCACTTGTTTGTAATGTATGTTTGAAGTACTGCTCTACCTCACATCGTCATGAATTACAATCTGCAATTAGTCCCGTATGCAAAATGGGAAGCTACATGTCATGTCTAAGTTCTGACTGTGATATATAACTGTATATGATCTATGTGTTATCGTGTATACTCTTATACTAATAAAGTATTTTTGGAACCAAAAAAAAAAACAGATTATTATTATTATACAGGATTTATATAGTGCCAACAGTTTGCTTA